CGGCCCGTGGCTCACTCGGGAGAGTGTGGTGCTGATAACACCAAGGCCACGGGTTCGGATCCCATACAGGGATGGCTGGTTAGCTCACTGGGTGAGCTTGGTGCTGACAACACCAAGTCAAGGGTTAAGATCCCCTTACCGGTCATCTTTTTTAAAAAAAAAAAAAAAGAAAATATTTATTTTACACAAAAGGAGGCAGGAATCAAGGAACAAAGGAACAAAAAAGACATAAGACACATGAAAGAATGCAAAATGGCAGACATAAATCCTACCTTATCAATAATTACATTGAATATAAATGGATTCAATACCCCAATGAAAAGACAGAAATTGGCAGAGTGGATTTAAAAGACATGATCTGACTATAAGCTGTTTACAAGAGATTTACTTTAGATTCAAAAACACAAAAGAGTTGAAAGTAGAAAGATGAAAAAAGAAACCATGTGAGCAGTTACTAAAAGAGAGCTAGGGTGGCTATACACGTATGAGACAAGATAGACTTTAAGACAAAATTTGTTACTAGAGACCAGAAGGACGTTTTATTATGATAAAAGAGTCAACATATCAGGAAGATTAGGATGATTACAAACATGTATACTCCTAACAACAGGGCCCAAAACTAACAGTTGAAGGGACACTAGACAGTTCAATATAATAGCAGGAGATTCCAATACCCTGCTTTCAATAACAGAACAAGTGTGCAAAAGATCAACAAGGAAGCAGAAAACTTCAACAACACTATAAGCCAACTAGACCTAACATATATCTAAAGAATACTCCACCCAACAACAGCAGAATGCACATTCTTGTAATGTGCACATGGAATATTCTCCAGGATAGACCATATGCTAGGTCATAAAACAAGCCTCAATACATTTCAAAAGATTCAAATAATACAAAATTTGTTTTCCAACAATGTAATTAAATTAGAAATTAACAATAGAAGACATTTTGGGAAATTCACAAATATGCAGAAATTTAAAAACACACACTTCTAAATAACCAATGGGTCAAAGAAGGAATCACAGGGGAAATTAGAAAATAACTTGGGATGAAAACTGAAACACAATATACCAAAACTTATGGGTCACAACTAAAGCTGTGCTTGGAGAGAAATTTATAGATGTAAATGTTTGTACTGGAAAAGAAGAAAGATTTAAAATCAATAGACTAAACTTCCACCTTAAGAAACTAGAAAAAGAAGAGCAAACTAAACCCAAAGCAAGCCCACGGAAGGAAATAATAAAGATAACAGTGAAAATAAATGAAATAGAAAATAGGAAAAAATAGGGAAAATTACTAAAACCAAAAGTTGGTTCCTGGAAAAGATCAATGAATTAACAAATATTTAGCTAGATTGACCAAGAAAAAAAGAGAAAAGATTCAAACTACTAAATCAGGTATGGAACAGGAGACATTACTACCGATCTTATAAAAATAAAGGGGGTGATAGAGAATACTATGAACAACTTCTTGCCAGAGAGTTAGCTAAATAGATGAAATAGACAAATTCCTAGAAA